CCCTTGCTGACCCGGAGTCTGACTCTCTTCGTGCTGCTAGTCCTACTATCACGCGTCTCCTGGCCACTGCTGTCACTGACCCTTCCTCTGAGTCAGCTGCTGCGTCTGCCTTAGTTGCTAAGCTTGTCGACTTTGCTGCTCACTGTCGTCTAGACTACGCTGCGAGTCTTGTTGCTGAGTCTGAGTCTGAGTATGTCTGTCCTCCGTCCGTCGGGGATGAGTGTGCTCTTGGCACGGATGTCCTTGAGGACAGGCAGGAGGAGTTTGAGTGCTTTGCCGCCGCTGTACCTCATCTCGTGTCCATGCTGATTGCACCTGAGGGAGACCCGGATGCACCAGACATCCCGACCCCGCGCTCTTACGCTGAGGCGATCGCGGGTGAGTACTCCTCTCAGTGGCAGTCAGCCATGGACGCAGAGATGGCATCCTGGAAGTCCACTGGCACTTACGTCGACGAGGTTCCTCCTCCTGGGGCGAACATCGTCAGTGGCATGTCGATTTTCAGGGTGACTCGGCCGCCAGGTTCTCCGCCTGTCTTCAAGGCTCGTTACGTTGCTCGAGGCTTCAGTCAGCGAGAGGGAGTAGACTTCTTCCAGACCTTCTCCCCCACCCCGAAGATGACCACTCTTCGGGTGCTACTGCACGTTGCCGCTCAGCGTGACTACGAGCTTCACTCTCTTGACTTCAGCACAGCTTTCTTGCAAGGCAGCCTGCACGAGGAGATCTGGCTGCGCCGCCCTCCTGGCTTCACTGGGTCGTTCCCTCCTGGTACCTAGTGGAGCCTCCGGCGGCCGGTCTACGGTCTCCGCCAGGCGCCACGTGAGTGGCACGACACACTGAGGACTACACTTGCGGCTCTTGGGTTCGCGCCTTCTACTGCTGACCCGTCGCTGTTTCTGCGCACCGACACTTCGCTGCCGCCGTTCTACATCCTCGTGTATGTCGGCGACTTGGTCTTTGCCACTGCTGACACTAAGGCTCTCGCCCTGGTGAAGTCGGAGCTGCAGAAGAGACACACGTGCACAGACCTGGGTGAACTGCGCAGCTACCTTGGCTTGCAGATCACCCAGGACAGAGCACGCCGCACCATCACACTGACTCAGTCACACATGGTGCAGCAGGTCCTTCAGCGCTTCGGCTTCACCTGGTCCTCGGCACAGGCCACTCCTCTGGCTAGAGGTCACTCGCTCTCAGCTCCACCTTCGGACGAGTCCGTAGAGCCGAGTGGTCCTTACCCAGAGCTAGTTGGCTGTCTCATGTACCTGATGACTTGCACTCGTCCTGACCTCGCGTACCCTCTTGGCCTTCTGGCTCGCTACGTGGCTCCTGGTCGGCACCGAAAGGTGCACATGGATGCTGCTAAGAGGGTATTGCGCTACTTGTGCAGTACATCAGGCATGGGACTCGTGCTTGGAGGGAGGAGCTCAGTTGTCCTCACTGGGCACTCAGACGCTTCTTGGGTTGACGACCAGGCTACTCAGCGGTCGTCACATGGTTACACCTTCAGCCTTGGCTCTGGTTCAGTTTCTTGGCGTTCTACACGTTCGTCTTCAGTTCTCAGCTCCAGTTGTGAGGCTGAGATCTACGCCACAGCCATGGCTGCACAGGAGTTACGCTGGCTCACCTACCTGCTGACTGACTTGGGAGAGCGGCCTCGTTCTCCTCCAGTGCTGTACGTCGACAACAAGGCTACCATTGCCTTGTGTGAGGAGCACAGACTGGAGCACAGAACGAAGCACATCGCTCTGCGTTACTTCCTGGCTCGAGAGTTGCAGCAGCGTGGTCAGCTTCGTCTGCGTTACGTGGCCACTCGGGCCAACACTGCTGATATATTCACCAAGGCACTTCAGTCTGGTGATCATCAGCGTTTCTGCACTATGCTAGGGCTTGTGCCCACTTTTCCTCACTTGCTGTAGGCTTTGCTTGTACTGTGATCTATACGTATATATACCTGCATGCTTGCTTTTCTATGTAGAGATCACTGTGCTGTTTGTGTTGCATATATGCCTCTGCATGTGGACTGGCCTTGTGGCCCTTTGCTTGTGCTCAGAGTGTGTGGTGACGTTGTGATCCACCCTGAGCTTGCTTTGCCTTTCTTGACAGGTCTTGTGACCCCTTGCTCTCCCCCACTTTGCCTATGGGGGTGTGTCAAATGTTATATCTGCTACAGTTTGTTTAGGCTGTAGTGGGGTAGTTACTATGGGGTACAATAAGTTTAGGGTTTCCTACTTGTACCCAACTCTTTCCTAGTGCAATCACTCTTGTTCATTCTGACAGCGGGCAGCCGAGCTGGAGCTGAAAACATTCTGTCACATCCTGAAGAACCACCACGAGGACGAGGACTTCTTCCAGGGGCTCACCAACATCCTGGCGACTCGCGACTGGCAACGCATTTACCCCAACATCGTGACCATGTGGCAGGCGTTGGCCGTCCTGCCAATAAGCACCGTCGAGTGTGAACGTGGCTTTTCGCGCCAAAACATCATCAAGAGCTGGCAGCGCACGACTCTCAACGATGCGCGTCTCACGGAACTCATGAGCATCCACATGCTTGACTACAACGTGTTGTGGCCAGATGTCGTGGACATTTGGCGCAAGCAGAAAAAGCGTCGACCTGCAAAATCACCTGCGCCGTTCCGACCTGCTTCCAACAGGGGGAAAGATAAAGTTGAATCTGACTCAGAGAACAAACCTGAGGCTCCCGCCGGGAGCAAAATGCGTCGAAGGCATGAGAGGTTTTTGTGCTATGTATATAAATTGAATAATTCAAGTTCGATCCGTTTCAAGACACTCTCCCTAAACACCGTAGGAGCCTAGAACTACAGTATGGCCATATTTCGTGAAACCTCAGAGTAAAAATATATATATATATATATATATATAAAAACTGACACCTCCGAGTTCTTATTTCAAAAAGCAAAATTACTCTGTCCAATCAGAGAAACGACTCGATACCACTCTGAATTTCAGTGTCGCGTGAAAAACCACCCTGGAAACCAGTGTGCTAAAAAAAAAAAAAAAAAACCCCTGCCTGCAAGTGTACCTGAGGAGCCGGGGTTTCCGCGATACACACTCACTCGCGTAGCGGAGGGGGCTTCTTGAGGGGGCGGTAGTGTAAGGAATTTTCTTGACGTTCCTTCCCGCGACCGTCAACATCGCATACAGCAGCAGCCATCGTTCGCCCGTTACTGCTAACGGGGCTTCGCCAACTTCGCGCGCACTGTTTCACCTAAATATGCACTGCTGGCCTAGCCGAGTTGGCCTACGCTTTGGGAGTAGCCCAAACCTCCATGCCAACATAGCACTAGCTAGCTAGCTCGCACGCACCGCGTAACGTTGCATGTTTCGCGAAGTATTCGGTCATGCCTTATCTCATACTCTATACTTTTGACCCACATAGTGCAATTCTCGCTACCTAGTTCCATTGCACCCGTAACATGACAGAAATACATTTTTGCTGCGATAGTTTTATGATTGGTGATGTGCGGTGCTGTGGGATTACTACGTGACAGAAGCAGCAGGTGTGGTGACAGCAACGTGGCTGGTGTACAATTCAGTAGGGCAGGTGGTTCGACCAGACAAACCTACGACAGTCCGCTGTGGTGTATTTCATTCGGTTGACTGTGGCGACTCCAGCGCTGCACCAAGATTCACCCTCATGTTTCCCTCCCTTGTCGGCTTGGTGTGAGCTGGGCTGGTTGGATAACTTGTCGACATGTCGCCCCCTCCTTTCTTGTCCCCCCTCCCCCCCTCCCCTCCCCACCCAACCTACCCCACCCAGCTCTTCCACCCTCCGTTTCAGACCATTGCACGAAGTCATAGATGTGAAAAACATCCTCCTTGGGATTATTGACGGGATAATAAGGAGGCGTCCAGATCGTTCATTTACTGTTCGTATAGCCCTTCAGTTACCAGATTTTGCGTTGTAACACTGAATTTTACAAAAATTCCAGACACGATCAGCTCCCGTTCACAATACGGCACACCCCCTGCACGTACCTCGAATCGTGTGACGCACGTTACAGAAATCAGCGTGCGCATCGAACAACGGTACAGAACCGCGTCCTGCCCACTACAGTGAGTGCCCATCGAATCGCTCGCTCGATTTCGCCAGTGCAGCCTGATACTCGCCAAAACCAGTAGTGGAAGTGTTGGCTTGGCGAAAATTCCAACGCTTTGGTTGACGAGGGAACCGGTTACCTCGTTTCCACACGCCCCCTGCACTGTTGAAGTCAGTGTGGGGGGAATGTGTCCGCGCGCTAAAATTGACAAAAAGGGTGGACTCGACGCAGGTCGTATTCGATTATAGGTACAGTGATCAGTTCTGAACCCCGGATCGCGAGGAGGTACTAAATTTCCCGAAATGAACGAGCTGGACACGCCCTAAGAAGAATTTGCGAATTATGTCATGAATGGGCCCGTTTCAATAAAAAATTCATGGTGAATTCTTGATTGGATGCGTCCGGTGCTTACCTCAGCCTGAGGCTCGAGGTCTGACGCACAGCAGCAATCCCTGGAACCAAAAAGGCTTACCTGCAACCAGAGGCCCAGTCGAGCTGTCCATCCGTCGCCACAGGCCCAGTCGCGTGTTTCAGTCCCCAATCCAAAGCTAGTAGCGGTCAAAGGCACAGCAGCTCAATCTCAGGTGAAGTAAACAAGATGGTAGGTTCCGTGAGCATCGGATGCTGTAAAGCTCGTGTGGGAGCTTGTGAACCTAGTAGATACTGCGTTGAGGCCGGTTCTGGCGCTTTTGAGACAGTATCATTCCAGAGAGAAACGGATTTGAGCGTAGGCGGCGGTAACGACAGAAGACGGCGCTCGCGTTTTCCACATAGCCTAGTATCGTCCTCACCGAGTGCGTATTTTTGACAATGAAGACGAAAAATGGAAAATTCGCGGTTGTGCTCTTGCTACTTCTGGCTGTCGACGCATCGTCCGAGTTGGCTCCACTTGAGGAAGCCCGTGCGCCCGTCCAAACTTTGTCTCAATATGAAATCTTTATGCAAAATACCCTGGAACTTCCGGAAGACCAGAGGCGGCAGCACGCAGAGCGCATTCTGGGAGCGGAGGGCGGCGAAATGGTGGGCGGTCGGCGCGGCGAGCGCGTCCTGCTGGACACAGGAGTGAAGCTTGGGATGTCCGCGCCGCCGCTCAGCTCGGGGCCGAGCATGGCGGTGGTGAACATGTCGATCTACCGCTGGGAGAGCGTCGCGCCGCCGCCCGTCGTCGACTGGCGGAAGACCGTCGCCATCACGCCCATCCAGACGCAGTTCGTGGTGGGTACTCCGCTCGCCCCTCGCTCGCCTGGTTACGTCACTGCTACTATCATGCCTGCTCAGCCCCGTCTGCCTCAGGATAGGCACTCGCCGCTCCCGTCCAGATCAGGACGGCTTCGAAGCAACCTGATGTGTTACTTGGTTGCTCCCGGTTCGAGTCGTCGCTCTTTCAATATCCTGGTCAGCGTCCTCGCTGCTTAATTTTCCTCCCACCCCTTCGCAGTGCTCAAGCTGCTGGGCGATCGCAGCCGTCGATTCCATCGCCATAATGTGGGCGATCGCCAACAACGGCGTGGGGACGAATCTGTCGCCGCAGCAGGTGTGCGACTGCGCGACGAAGCAGTGCTGCCAGGGCGGGTGGCCCGAGTGGGCCTTCTCCTACGTGCTCTTCAACGGCGGCGTCACGTCCAACGCCAACTACCCCTACCTCGCCTACGATTCCCCCACGTGTCTGCTCGACACATCCATGCCGTCCGTGGCGCAGATCACGGGGTGGGAGCTGGTGCCGGCATTCAACGCCATGGCGCTCATGAAGGCCGTCAGCATGCAGCCCGTCGTCGCCTTCATCAGCGCCTCCGCCGCCGACTTCACCGTACGCCTTCCTGCGCCTTGCGTCCCGCTCCTGCTCCCGCTCCCCGCGCTTCGCCACTCCCACCATTTCCCGATTCCTCGCGTTTCTCTGCGCACACCGTTTCTCGATTCCCCGCGTTTCTTCGCGCACACCGTTTCTCGATTCCCCGCGTTTCTCCGCTCACAGAGCTTCACATTTGCCGCGTTTCCCCACTAGCAATGTTTCCCAGCTTATAGCGTTACCCAGCTCGAACACCGATTCCCCGCGTTTCCTTCCCTCTCGTCAAACTCTCTCCACGTGCAGGCTTACTCAAGCAATGGCGTGCTGAACATTTACAACGGGCTGTGCACGACGGACGTGAACCACGCGGTGGTGGTGGTGGGCTTTAACTACACGGGGCCAGACCTCAAAGGCAGCTACTGGATCATCAAGAACTCGTGGTACGCCACGTGGGGCGACCGCGGCTACATGTACCTCGCCATGACGCCCGACGTGCGCGGGAAATGCGGCATCCTATCGTACGTTACCCGACTCGCTCTTGACCATTGAATCTGCCTTGACTCTTCAAACGCATTCCACTCGATTCGCGTGGGGTCATTAAGTCTTTCTGGTCTCTCCCTTCTCGCGCCTCCCCCGGGCCATCTCCTGCCGACACGCAGGAGGGCCCCTTTGCCGTCTCCTTCCAGACCCTGCAGTCCCCTCTGGATGCCTTTCACCCCCGTTCCCGGCCTGCCTGCCTGTTGTTTGTGCGATTCTTCTCTCCTCTCGCCTAAGTTCGTTTGTCCGATTCGGCTCTCTTCTCCACCAGTCCACCGATTCTGCTCTCTTCTCGCCACCCCTCCTTTCCGCGCAGAACCCCCGCCATGTACCCCGTCTACTTCCCATCCGGGCAGCAGCCGGCGCGCTTTGCGTCTGACAAGCGCGGCAAGTGGAAAATCAACAAAGTGGACGACCTCTCGTCGTCACTCTACTCCTCCACCCTCTCCCTTTCAACCACCAGCATCAGCACCACCACCACCACAACTACTTCGTTGACTGACTTCTCTTCATCAACAGACTTCGCCATCGCAGCTATCACCGATCCGACGATCTCCGATTCTTCCTCGCTACTCATTGGTTCCACCACTGATTCGTCTGCGACCAAGACGACCACGCTGAGTACGACGTGCGTCGGGATGATCAACCCGTGCGGCGGGGGCAGTTGTTACATCAGCGGCGGGATTCCGCGGTGCAACTGCAGCGAGATGGCGAATATGGTCGAGGTGTTGGGAGTGCCCACGTCCAAGTGCGTGCCGCGAAGTCCCTGCACGACGGCTTCTGTGAATCCCTGCGGCGGCGGAACGTGCAGCGATGTGGGCGACGGGACGTACACGTGCGCTTGCTCTGCTGGTTACGCCATCGGCGTTGCTGTCGATGGTTCGCCAACGTGCCTGCCTGCGGCTGGACTCGCGAAGTCCTATGTTACCAGCCCTGGCGACAACTGCACGGCGGTCGCGACAGCTTTCGGGATTTCGACCACCACGCTGACAAACCTGAACACTTTCATTAACTGCTCCGCTACAGAATACCTCCCTCCTGGAATTGCACTTACAGTCTCTGCAGCACTTACTTCCTTATCCTCGTATTGCACTCGCACATACATCATTCGATCTTCCGACACTTGCACTTCTGTGGCAAACACATTCTTCAACGGATCTCTCACTTCCCTTATGGCAAGCAACCCTGGCTTATCGTGCAAGCGTTTGTTCAAGTCGGAGCAGATCTGCCTCCAAATGGTGACCGCATCGTCAACATCATCGGCTGTACAGTGCGGCCAAAGCGTCGCTGTGGTCATGGGAGACACGTGCGCATCGGTTGCCCTTAAATATTCTGTCGACATTGCATCTTTTGCCTCGTGAGTATTCGAACGCTTCCCATTGGTCATGAGTCTATTTATTACCTCCTCGCTACAGCTTCCTCTTCTCTCCCAAAGCTACACCATAGTTTCTATACATCATTGTTCACCGCCCCCTCACCTCCCGCATATTCGCGGTCACTCACTTTAGGCTCTCGCTGAAATACTGTTGTTTCTCACGTGCAGGCTCAACCCAGGTGTCAACTGCAACAGCAATCTTGCAGTGGGATCATACGTCTGTGTGGCGCCAACATCACCTGCGGTAAGCACGGACAAAGAATACGCTCCACACTTTCAGGTTGTTAGCGATTCTCCTTCCATATAAATTCTTGCTACTTGCCGTCTGCAGGCGAGCATCAGCTGCACGGGGCGTTACTGGGAGGGCGTATTGCCGCTTCTCTTTTCTCATCTTTGTCTCGTCCTCCCCCCTCATCCCCCCTCTGCCCGTCCCCAGACCACCATCAACTGCACGGAGTGGTACCGGGTGATGCAGGGCGACACATGCCCCTCCATCTGGAATGCAGCCAACCTCACCATGTCCATGTTCCAAGCCATCAACCCCGGCGTTCAGGTGACTTCCTTCAACACTACCCTCACCACCTTACTAGCCCTCCCCCCCTTTACTGCCCGGGTCCTTGCACTCGTTCTGTGCCTCAACACGCCACTCTCTGTCACGGCCAGCCATCACTGCAAGCCTCCTTACCTCCCTCTCCCTTGCCACCCCCCCCCTTCCCCCCCCCACCCCCCACCCATGCAGTGCCAGGCGCCCTACCTGGTGGTGGGCCAGCAAGTCTGCATTGACTCACCCATCCTCACCACCATGCAGCGAAACCCAAACGCCAACTACTCCATCTACACCGTCCGTGCGAATGACACCCTCTCCACCATCTCCTCCCTCTACCTCCCCCGCTGCACAAAGCTCTCCGTGACCCCCGCTGCCATCGCTGCACAAAACTACCTCACCAACCTCTCTGCACCGCTCCCCATCGGCATGAACCTCATCATCCCCTGTATGGGCGGCATCGGTATGATTGACGGCGGTTGTGCAACGTCTCTCACGGTGTGCGGATCAGATTTCGTCTCGTACCCGTCATACTGCCATGCAGCCGTGAACTACGCCCTTCCAGTTTTCCAATATAGCCCGTGTGACAAGTGTGGGGCCGCATGCCCTGGCCGCATGGGGTTGACCCCGCTCGCTGGGTTCGGCTGCACGCAAGCCATCTGCCCGTATCCAGCCTGGTTAGGGGGACCAGACTGCACTTTAGGAGATGGCAACAACTCTACTACTACGCTTGGGCCCTGCTGCAACTACCGGAAAACTATTTGCGAGAGGGAGTGCAACCTAGCTGCGGAAACTGCAGGCGGTACCGCTGCAACCAAAACTAAAAACTACAACACATGCATGAGCAACTGCATCTGCTGCGGTGCTTACCCGTGCGGGGGGAACGCGACATGTAGCACTTGGAACAGCGCCTGCTATAATACCTCCCCTCGCACCTGCACGTACGCCATGGGGGTTGGGTACACGTATATCTGCAGCTACTACCCTCCTGCCATTCCCTTGGTTTAAACAACCACCTTTGGGGGCTGCCTGTAAGGGCTGCCTGTGGGGGCCGCCGCCTCTGCCTCGTTGCTGCTTGCATGGCTGTTGGCATATGCGTGCATGGGGTGTTAGGGTGCATGGGGTGCTAGTGTGCATGGGGTGCGAGTGCGCATAGTACAAATACAAGCCGTTAGGCTTTGGCGTAACCTCACAAAGAGGCTAGTTTTGCTGTTTGTTACACTTTCTGTTAGATACAACCTGACATTCTTTTGTTCCTTTTGCTATTGCTAAAATTTCCTTGCATACTTTTTCATTGCTTCCTCTATGTACCACGCACTATGTGCGCTTGTATACATTGCCCATGATAAAGCAAGTGCCAACCTTCTATAACCTATCATACAGTAGACTGGCCCCACCCCACACTTTTATGGGTTGTCAAACAGAGTACGCCGAATTCATGAATAGCGAAACTGTGACGTGATGTAATGAAGTTAAGAGACAGGTGGAAAGGAGTACTTAGTTCTGCTAGGCTACAGTGAGGTGCTCAATATAGAGTACAACCCCAGTCGACGCCGACGTGCGCGAGCCTCGCATGCAACCAGTCAGAGGTCGACTTCGTCGCCGAGATGAACGTCCGCAGAGTTACCACCTCGGTCAACGGCGACCGCGTCGAGCAGGGGCGAAGGTCGGTGCAGAGGACTCGTCCGGTGTAGCGTGCTCGACCGAGCACCTCCCTGGTCGCGGCGACGAGCAGCATCTCGTCGCCGTCGCCCTGCAGCTGCACTGCCAGCAGGTTCACCTGTACGCCCGGAACGTAGAGCACGTCGGGGATGAGGACCTGCTTCCTGGCCTCCCCTTGTAGAGCGACGGTTCCGCGACCCTCGACAGGCTGCAGCGCCCAGTTGAATCCATGCACGTGCTTCACTCTGTCGGTCGGCGCCATGTCGACGAACACCGCCTTCGTCCCCATCAGGTGGTGGGAGCACTCGTTGTCGAGCAGCACCGCCATCGGGTTGGCCTGCACAGCTGCCGCCACCGCCTGGAAGTCCTCGCCAGCCTCCGGTGCCAGCGAGACTATCGGCTCCAACACGCCGACCATCGAGCAAGACGCCTCCCCGTCGCCTCGGCCCTTACCGCTGGAACTGTCGACGTCCTTCGTCGACGACGTCTTCTTCGACGTCTGCTTCTCCTTGCGCGGCTTTGCATCTCGACCGGGGCGACGGCTGGTTGACCGGCCACGGCCTCCCTTGGTATCGTCCTCGTCGCGGTCGGGGCACTCGTAGGAAAGGTGGTCAGGGTCGTGGCTGATCCAGCACTCCCGCCGTCGACCACCACCTCCACGGCCCTTGTCCCGCGTCGACCTCTTCTCGTCGACGTCCTTCGTCGACGCCCACCTCCGCTACCACCTCCGCCCGGCTTCCCGCGCTGCCCTTGTTGCTGATTCAGCTTCGTCGGTGTGGCGTAGTTTACCTGCGGAAGGAGCTCCGTGGGCTGTTCGGCCTCCTGCATCGCCTCGTCTTGAAGGATGTAGCTGGTGATGGAGTCCTCGTCGAGGGACTCAAGCGTGCCAGGCACCATCATCATCCTCTTCATGAGGTTGTAGCTGTGCGGCAGGCCCTTCACGATGTAGGTGATGTAGGACGCCGTCGAGTATTCAGCGCCTGCCATCCGCATCTCAGCCAGGATCCGTCGAGTACGGTTCCAGTAGTCCGTCGCCGACTCCTGCTCGCCCATCCGAATGTGCGTCATCTTCTCCTCCAACTGTCCGATGTACAGGTCGTCCCTGACCTGGTACGTCGACAGGATGAAGTCGCTCTCAACAGCTCCTGAGCGCCAGCTGCACCACCGGCGAGCAACACCTTGAGATGAATATGAAGGTGTGCAAGTGAGCCGCACGAAACTCCCCGCGCAGCTCGACATCGACCACGGGCGGAATTGGCATAGTGCCGTCGGCGAAGCCCTTCAGCCCGACGACCTCCAGCTGAGGTTCTATCGACTCCCTCCAGGTGATGAGGTCCCGTCGACCTTGCAGCAGTGCGATGGTGATCCGGTCCGGCGAGAACTTGAAATAGCCATACGCTGGTGCAATCCCGCCCGCCGTCACGTGCGTCGTTGCCGAGAGACCTTTACCGCTTCGTAGAGGAGATCGACGTCGACCATTGACGTCGACACGCAAGCTGCCTACAGCCGCTGTCGACCGCTGCACCCGCGCCTGAATCTTGTCGACGCCACCGTCGACCTTGACACCCCTCTCTGCTTCGTTCCTTCACTGCCGCTGACTCGTGCACCACCATCGACCTCGTCGTTGACGCCACCTTCGTTTCGCACCGGTCGAGGAGATGCAGGTCGGGAAGGGTGTTCCGTCGCCCACTGCGACCGGATGCCCAACTCGACGATCAGCAAGGGGATCGTCCCGTACTCGCCATCCGCGTGGCGTTTCCTCGCATTAGCCAAGCGTGCCTCCAAGGTGTCCGCTACCCCCGCATCAACTACGGGGTCGACCGTGGCGACTAACGCCGCTGCCGGCCTCCGAACGACTTAGTAGGTGCAAAAGTCGGCTCCTATCTGAAGGTAATCTGCGGGGCCGTCCACGCTCATCGCACCATGCGGAAATTCACTCGACAAAGGGAGTGAGCTAGACTACGGGGGGGGGATAGGCACGAACTACTGAGAGTGATCGTAGCTTTGCTTGCGTTCCTTAGCACTTGCACATTCACGGGAGAAGTTGGCAAGAGTTTCACTAGCAAAGTCGAAATTACAGATTATTTGAACAAGCAATGACAGAATGACTTCATCAGGCACCTGGCAACCCTGCAGCTAGCCTGGTCGACCGCCAGCATAGGCTGGTCGACCGCCTACCAGCGTTGCGTAGAGGAGCCGCGCCAGCACTGCAGAAAGGCAACCTGCCAACACTGCAGGTCGACCGCGTGCCAACGCTGCAGCAGAGCGGCTGTCCAGCGCTGCCCCATAGAAGACAGCAGCGCGCACGCTCGCAGGTGCGCGCAGACGATTGGCCCGACTTGCCTTGATGTGCATCAGTCGGCTGTTGTCTGCGCTTGATGAGCCACATCGACTTCGGGATGCCATCCCGAAGTCGCCCTCGCCATCGCGACCTCGACAACGTTCGCGTGCCTTCGCAGAACTCGTCGAGCAGGTTACCCGGTCGACTTGGTCGACCACCAGGTGCTTCCGGTCGACCACTACAGCCTCTGGTCGACCACCAGGTGCCTCTGGCCGACCACATCTCCTGTCGAGCTACCCACTGGTCGACGGACTCCTTCCGTCGACCTGAACTGTCAGCTGTTGTCGCCAAGCTCCCCTCGTCGTCCGCTGCTCACTTGTCAGGTCAACGGACTGCTCCGTCGACCTCTCAGTCGAGCTGTAGGTCGACGGACTGCTCCGTCGACCTCCCACTCGAACTGCCCCTCCTGGTTGACGACCAACCCGTCGCCCAGACCAGTCAGTTGCTGCTGTCGAGCTCCCTAGTCGACAGCAACACCACAGCGGTCCCCTGCAGCCCGACGAAGCATGTCGCACAGCTCTCCCAAAGTGAACGGTCGGCTGCTACTTTTGTACATCCGACCAAGTCGTCAGCGTTGCCCATGAGAGGGCGGGGCCAACACTCCTCTCCCGTTAACACTGCCCACTAGTGCCACATGTGATTGTCGTATCCTGAGTCTCCTCCGACGGTAGAAGTGAGTCTCGCTTTGGCGTGCTTGCCGGGTTCTGTGGCGAGCAGGGCATCACTCAACAATGGACACTTCCGGAATCTCCATAGCAGAATGGGGTTGCTGAGCGCCGCATTGGCCGCATTGCCCCATTTTCTGTGGCCCAACGCGGTTTGCTACGCCGCCCACCAGTTGAACCTCTGGCCTCGTGTCTCACGACCAGAGGCTTCATCAACCAGTCTTTGGACCGGGTCCCCTGGTGTTGCGTTGGAGTTTTGTGTCTGGGGCTACCTTGCGCATGTCTGCGGATAAGCTCTCAAATCGCACCCTTCCCTGTGTGTTTTACCACCCGCCCCTCCACCAATTCCTTCCTCCGAGTTCTCCCGGTTTGCTCCCCCTCCCTCTTTTTAGCTCCCACTCCTCCTCGTGCTTCTGCTCCTCCGATACACCCTCCCCCCCAGTTCATGCCCCTTCAGGTGTGTCTCGCGCTACCCCTCTCCCCTCGGTAGCACGTCAGGTGTCATCTCCTTCCCCATAGTCTTCCTCACAGTCACCACAACAACCTTCGGCACTACCGCGACAGGTTGCAGTGGACTCTGGGGGTGTTGGTGCTGGAGGTACGGGCGCTGGATGCGCTGATTCTGAGGGTGCTAGAGCTGGGGGTGCTGGCACTGGAGGTGCTAGTTTTGGGGGTGTTGCTGGAGCTGGAGGCTCAGGCACTGGAGTTGCTCGTTTGGGGGGTGCTGGAGCTGAGGGTACAGGTACTGGAGGTGCTACTTCTGAGGGTGCTGGAGCTGGAGGTGCTGGTGCAAGAGGCTCTAAATCTGGGGGTGTTGGAGTAGGTGCTTGCACTAATGGTGCTAGTTCTGAGGAGGCTGAAGCTAGAGGCACCTCTATTGCGGCGCCTTTCCGCCTCCCCACCGCTACCCGGCACGTCATTAGGCTCTTCGTCGGCTTGAGCGCGAGGAGCAGGAGATATTTGCGCAGGAGAGGCTAGAGATAGAGCAGCAGCTGGAGGAGCTGCAGCGGCGGGAGTTGCAACAGCAACAGCAACTGCAACAAGCGCAGCAGCCGCAATCGTGGCAGACGGCACAACCGTCACTTATGCAGCTGCTGTTCCCACCTGCGAGTGGCCTCCATGCCCTTGGTCTACCTTCCTCCCCTCCGGACCGCTCACCGCCTCCCACTGCATATGGTCTTCCTCCTGCTGACTCGTCCCTGGTTGTTTTCTCTCCACCTCAGACGCTGTCGCTTCCTCCTCATGTTGTCCCGCACACGTTGGCCACTCGTTGTCCTCCTCGTGCTCGTCCCTCGTCTTTGTTTGACGACCTCCGCTCTGCATTGCTTTGTTCTTGTCCTCTTCGTTCTCCGCCTCAGTATGTTCTCCCGTCACCTCCTGAGTCATCTCTAGCATTATCCTCTCACCTTATCACTGACTATTACCGCACAGCACGTCCTGTTGTC